AAGTATTGTGGGGGTGTGTGTTCTCGCTCTGGGTTGTCACGCTTTGATTTGATAACAAACACTTTGGATCTTAGTGGTGTTTTGTTGTTCCTGCCTCTGGTCAGCAAGTCTTTAACTGGACCCTAGCAGCGATCTGTGCCCATACGCAATTGTAGGTTTCAGCCAAGTCAATGGCAGGGAGTGCAGATGAAATTAGCTCTGCCTTTCTCATGCACTTCTAACCAGTTTGCTAGTCCAACAGTGTTTATTACTCCTGTTTTCAAAACCTATTCATTTCTTTCTTGCTTTTCCCACCCACCTGCCAGGATATTGATGACAGGTGTTGAGTCACCTTTAGTTTCCAATCTTTTTGTGGGAGGCAGAAATGTGTTGGGTAAGAGCCACACACGCACACGAACACACACATACTCACACTCCATCCTGGGAGGCTAGAGAAGTTCCTGGGTGTACTTTCTTAGGCTACATTTCATGAACTTCTGAATGTGTTTGTGGCCACATACCTCTCTTCCGGAAAATTAGAAAATTAGAAAAATTTGAAATAGGAATGGGTGGGAGAGAATGAGAAAGAAAGTCCTTCAGGTGCCTATGGCGCAGCCAAAGACATTGTCTCAATTTGAAGTGGTATGTTTGTGGTCTCTTCATTTCCTGGCATTGAAATCCATTCCAGGCAATTCTGGTGTTCCTGTATGCTGGCTGGAGGTGAGGGCTAGGGTCATTAACTTGGGTCATTTGCCAGGTGTGGATAATATTTAGAAAGATTTTTATTTTATTTTTTTCGAGACAGATGTAGCTTTGCTGTCTTAGAACTCATTCTGTAGACCAGGCTGGCCTTGAATTTACAAAGATCCACCTGCCTCTGCCTTCCAAGCCCTGGGATTACAAGCATGCACCACTACTACCAGCACAAGATTTTTAATTTTTTTTTTTTGAGACAGTGTCTAGGCTGACCTTGAAGTTCTGGATTTAAGCAATTCTTCCTTAGTCTTCTAAGCAGCTAGGACTTTGGTATGAGATACCATGCTTAGCCAACTGATTTTTAATTGCTTTTTAAAAACCCTATCAACTCATATGTTGTCAAGATTTATCCAAGAGGGAAGAAACTTCTGGAAAAATCGGTGTCATTCTCCTCTCCCCTACCCTGTATGTCCTAGAGCCACTAGATTACAGAGTAGCCAGCACAGTGCGAAATTTAATATGTGGGGAGCAGTGTGCACGGTTTGAAGACAGGAATTGCAAATGATCTGGAGCCAGCAGATGATGTAAAAGCATAAGTCGGGTAGGTTTGTAAGATAATGATGGTGGGGATGGAAGCGAGCTGGATGGTAATTGCTGTGCCTGAAGAGACTCATCTTGAAAATCAGTTAGAGGAAGTCCAACCTCTTTGTAGATAGCAGAGTACTTTGGTCAGAGTCACAGAGCAGTTAGGAGTAGAAGTGGAAAATCAAAGCCGCTTCCTCAGGTTGGTGTTCTCACCCGTTCTGTCACAGATTTGCTGTTAGGTTAGACAATAGTGGAATGTAGGTTCTCCTCTCTAACAGCAGATTCATTTTATATCTCTTGCTCTGTTGTCACACTGATAATTACAGGCTCTGCCAAAGCTCGGGCTGAAAACTTACTGGCAGGGATGAACAATTGAAAGACACACTTGAAATTTCTCTTTCTCCTGATCTGTCACATTTTCTAGCATTCCACATTTCCAGGAATCAATTATTAATTACTTGGCATATAATTTTATCTACTTCTGTCTTTCTAGTGTATTGGTTCTGCCTCTCTGGAAGGCCATGGAGAAGAGGCTGGGAGTCAAGCCAAGTTCTGCTTCCTGGATTTTGCCAGGATATTGTTGGCAGACATCAGTGAAGCCGCTGAGAAGCCTGTACCTGCTCTACACTTTCTTCTGCTTCGGCGCTCTGTGGTTGTCAACAGGTATAATTTTTGAGCTTTAAGATTTAATCCCTTCTGCCCTGCCCCCTCTCAAACAATCAGCATCCTGAATTCCTGGGTTCGGTTTAAAGACCTACCAGAAAGCAGGAAAGCGACCTGCTGACAGAAATGGTCATCGTTTTGGTGGGTGTTTGCTTGTTGGGTTTGTTTTGTTTTGGAATCATGATATGAATTGGATTTTTTTTCTCATAAGGGAGAATTGGTATTAATTTTGTCATTTTAAATTTTTTATTTTTATCTGCACTGGTGTTTGACTTGCATGTCTTTGTGAGGGAGTCAGATTCACTGGAACTTGAGTTACAGACAGTTGTGAGCTGCCATGTGGGTGCTGGGAACTGAACTCTGGTCTGGAAGAGCAGCCAGTGTTCCTAAGTGCTGAACCGTCTCTTCAGCCCTCATTTGTAGTAAGGAGCTGTGGGCAGGCCTGCTTTTCATCCTGTCCGGCTCCCGCACGGCTAGCTTAGTCCCAGAAATAACAACACACAAATTGTATTTATTTAAGCACTGCCTGGCCCATTATCTCTTAGAGAGTTAGTTACTGACTAACTCTCATATCTTGATATTAACCCATTTCTAATAATCTGTAGCACCATGAGGTGGTGGCTTACCGGAAAAGATTCAGCATGTCTGACCTGGTGGCTGGCTCCATGGCTTCTGCATCATAGCCCTCTTCCCAGCATTCTGTTCTGTTTACTCCGCCTACCTAATTTTCTGTCCTATCAAGGGGCCAAGGCAGTCTCTTTATTGACCAATGAAAATAACACAATAGACAGATAACCCTCCTCCATCACTCATTTTGACATTTTATAAAGGCAGATTGACCAAAACAAAGCAAACAAACAAAACTTTTCAGAGTTAAGTAGATTGGGGTCCTGGAGCTGGATATTGCCATGTAATGACTGAGGCCTAGGGCTCATTACCTAATGGTTTTTTATTTTTTTAAAAAAATGGATCTCACTTATGTAGACCAGGCTGGCCTTGACCTCTTATTTCACCTGACTTACCTTGTTGAAAGATAAGATCTGCCTCGTAGCTTGACCTGAGAGAGAACATATAAAAGCATGTGAAGCTCTGTAAACGTACCTGCTCAGGGAAAGATGCTTTGCTTCCTTTCCTAGAGGAGTCCACATTTGGTTTTGGTTTTGAGACAGGATACCACTGTGTAGCCCTGGCAAGCCTGGAACTGGATTTGTAGACCAGGCTGGTTATAAACTCATAGAGATCCACCTCCCTCTGTCTCCCAAGTTTAATATTAAAGGTATGAGCCACCGGTGATGCCTGGTGACATCTCACTTTAACAAGTTGTATTTTTTACTTTTATTTATTTATTTTTTGGAGAGGCTGTATGTACATGCCATAATGGTGTCTGTGTAAGGTTAAAGGACAGCTTTTGTGGAGCCTTCTCTCCTTCTACCTCTGTGTGGATTCTGAGGATCAGACTCAGGTGGTCAGACTTGCTAAACTGAGAAGTCTCACTGGCTCTGCTTGTTGTTGTTCATAGAAAGGAACCATGTTGATAGACTTCACGGAATACTTTCCTTCTCAAGACTACTTTACCTTACAGCCTCTTGTCAAGAGTTAGTGTCGAGAAGGCTAAATGTCAAAGGCCAAATTTCAAAATACCCTTGCTTGCGTGGCGGTGGTGGCACATGCCTTTAATCCCAGTACTTGGGAAGCAGAGGCAGGCAGATCTCTGTGAGGTTGAGACCAGCCTGGTCTACAGAGGGAGTTTCAGTACAGCCTAAGCTACACAGAGAAACCCTGTCTCAAAAAATCAAACCCAAATCAAACCAAACAACAGATTACTTTCTGTCTTTACCCTTTCAGTGTTGTTGTTGTTGTTGTTGCTGTTGTTGTTGACATGGTTCCTTGCAGAGTATGGAGTGTGAGAAAGCAGCAGCTTGAGAAGGACGTTGACTATGCCTTTACTCTGGGCAGTGACAGCCTTCTGCTGTAGGGCCGCAGCTATGGCTAACTGTTCAGCTTTTGCTGAATGGCTATGAAGATTTCTGTTGTCGACATGGTCTTGAGAATCAAGTAATTACTGTATTTAGCAGTTTTAGTAGCACTGGCTGTGGTAGCTGATGATTGTATGATTATAGTGGTAGAGACTGAGTTGATAGAAAGCTGACCCAGATATTTTTTTTTTATGGAAGATGATGCTTTGTTGACTAGTTCTTGGTGTTATTCTATGTAAGGTAATTTGAGTGAAGTAATTAATTTAGCAACATCACTTGGGGAGACTCACTTCTTTGGAAGTGTACCTACCCCTGCCAGGTTTCTAGAAATGTCACATACCTTCTCATTGAATTTTTATGGTAACCCTGAAATAGATAGTTTATGCTCATTATATTAATAAATAAATTGAGACCCAGAGAGAAAGAGAAGGACAAAATGACTTACTAGAGTCACATAGCAAGAAGTCACACAGCAGAGCAAGATCCTAACTCAGCTTGTTTGTTGATGCTTGTTTTCTTTGTCTCTTCTGCCGTAGGCCTTCCGGCCTCAGGTGGTCCTTGGAGGACCAAGTTGTAGTAGTAATTGTTGTTGTTGTTGTTTTTCCCAGAACCATGACAATAAGCTGAAAGAGTCAGAGCACCAGGGGAGGACAACGTGATTCTGAGACTTTCTGTGTTTTGTTTTTCACTTACACTTACTTGGTTCAGAATAAAATTATGGAGGAATTTCAGATTTAGATAAGAAATTTTTTTTCCAAGCCAACCTGTATCCAGCTTTATTAAAGGCACTTTCCATAAACAATCATGGTTTTCCAGGCAGAACATGGGCAGACAATCAGTAACAGTATATAAGAACTTCCAAACTCCCTTCTTGTATGACTACCAAAATCAGAAAGCCACTATAAAACCTGGTGATTCTTCATTGGATGCTCTGAAAAGGGGGAGGAGCTTAGAGTGAGGGCTGACATTTCACATTGAGGATGTTGTTTCACAATTTTTCACAAGCCGACCCTGACTTTCAGGAAATGAAATGAAAATGGCAGAATTATCAATCTGCAGATCCACAATCTTCTGTAAAAGGAACCGCTGTGCTTTTGAGGACACTCAATGATATCACTGCAAAGTCCAGATTGCCCAACAGACTGGCAAAACCAATTTTGGGGATCAGGTTCCAACAGGTCTCTGGTCTTAAGGGAGTTAAGTCTATGTTGATGGTACAGGGGGAGGAGAATATAAAAACGAACTTAGTTCTCCCACACAAGGCATGTTGTGCCATGGTGGCCACATATGTCAACATGTCCCCAGGACGTCTCTCCTGGGAGCCGAGAGGAGTCTTTCAAAATTATCAGGGAAAGATGTTTTCCATCATGAACCATCATTCATTCAGCTTGGGAGACATTGCTAGTGACACATGTTCCTCCCCACCCCAAAACAATGAAGTGTTCTGTGTGCTAACAACATAGCTTAAAAAAAAAAAAAGGTAAAACAAAATTCTGCATTTTTATAAAACTTGATAAAAAATAGTATTTCAAACTGTACAGTCACCAGAAGTACACAGCTATCAAAAACGCACACATTTCACTTGGCGTCTCCAGCACCTTCAGCTTTTTGTGCCTGGTCTGTTTTGGCGTCTCCATTCTCTGCAGGATTATTGGCATCCTTACCAGCATCGGCCTTCCCCTTCTTCCCCTTGGGTGCCTTCTCTCCCTTCTTTGCAAGGGCCTTTTTAGGCTTGGGCTCTGGCTTTGGAGGTGCAGGTTTAGCGGACAACCTTGCCGATCTTCTCTGTGGCTCGTCCTTCACCTTGGCTTTATCTCCATTAGTATCCCCTTCAGCCTTTCTTTTGGGCATGGCGGCGGCCGGGGACACGTTGGCGCTGAACGCGGGGCTGCAGCGGTGCGCGGCTCGGGTCCGTCCAGGGGTCGTTCTCGCTGCTTCTTCACACCGCTCCAAGAAATTATTTTTACACAGCCTGATGAAGATTAAAGTGAAAATATCTAGAGGCTGGGACACGGGCAGGCGGTAGGACACTTGCCTAGTGTGCGAAAGACGCTAGGTTCAATTCCACACTGCAAAACAAAGAAATAAATAGTATAGTTAAGAAACATTAGCTGCCCGCAAATAGTGCTAGAAAATTTGAACAGAAAACATTTGGTATAAATATCAGGATATCTAAAAAGTTCATGGCTCTTAACTTAATTCCCCTTTCAAGAGTTTTGGGGTTGGAGAGATGGTTCAGTGGTTAAGAGCACTGACTGCTCTTCCAAGGACCCAGAGTTTGCTTGAACCTGTATGGTGGTTCACACCAACCTGCAATTCCAGTTCTAGGGCATCTAATGTCCTCTTCAGACCTACGTGGGTCCCAGACATAAAAGTGGTACACATACATGCAGACAAAACACTTGCCCACATAAAATTTTAAAAAAAGAGTTGTTGCTTTTGTTGGGGAGTTAAGGGGAACTGGAGAGATGGCTTAGTGGTTAGAAGTATTTGTTGTATGTGGGACATGGTGGCACATGCCTTTAATCCCAGCACTCGGGGGGGGGGGGCAGAAGCAGGTGGATCTCTGTGAGTTTGAGGCCAGCCTGATCTACAAAGTGAGTTCCAAAACAACTAGGGCTGTTACACAGAGAAAGCCTGTTTGGAAAAACAAACAGCAACAACAAAACTTTTGTTGCTCTTCCAGAGGATCTGAGTTTGGTCCCAGCACCTATATCAGGTGGTTAATAACTTCTGGTCTCTGAGGGCACCTTCGTGTATGTATGCATACTGACACACAGTTACACTTAAATAAAACTGAGTTTGTCTCAAATGCATAGTGAGACCTTTGCTTTAGTGTGTGTGCATGTATCAAAAACTAGGCATGGTGATGCATGACTGTAGTGCAATCCTTTTGTTTGTTTTCTGTGTGTGTGTGTGTGTGTGTGTGTGTGTGTGTGTTTTGAGACAGGTTCTCTCTGTAACTTTGGCTGTCCTGTAACCTACGATGCCTCTGCCTCCCAAGTACTAGAATTAAAGGCATGTGTCACCATGCCTTTATGCATGTATGAAGGTGTCAGATCCCCTGAAACTGGAGTTATAGACAGCTGTGAGCCACCATGTGGGTGCTGGGAACTGAACCCAGATCCTCTGGAAGAACAGCCAGTGCTCCTGACTACTGAGCCAGCCCTCTTTTAATGTAATCTTAAAAAATTTCTGTGAGTTCCAGCCCATACTGGCCACAAAATAAAGCCTTGTCTCAAAAACAAATGACTGGGCTGGAGAGACAGAGGTTTGCTGCAAAGCCTGACAACGCTGGACCTCCATGTGGATGTAGAGGATGAACTTACAAGTGTCCTTTAACCTTCGCACACACACCGTGACACGTGTGCATCCAACATAGGCCCACACAAAATAAATACTAGAAAATATAAACAGTTTATCATAAGTATACCTTTAGATAGTTCTTGTGAATAAGAGCATTCACCAATACTTGTTTATTCTGTACTGTGAAACATTGCATTTGCCTGCCCAATAGCACAGCAGTAATGTTTTTGCATATTTATGTGATGGATGTTGTTATAGTTACTTTCAGTGGTCAGTGTGACCTAGGAAGATTGGCCTGACCAGTCAGTGAGGGATTTTCTTACTTGCTAGTTGATGTAGGAGGATCTTGTCCACTATGAGAGTTGCCATCCCTAGGCAGGTGGGCCTGGGTTGTATAAGAAAGGTAGCTGAACAAGCCAGTAAGCAGCTCTGCTCCTTGGTGTCTGCTTTGAGTTGCTTAGGCTTCCCTCACTGGTGTGACATGTAAGCTGAGATGAGCCCTCTTCTCCTGAGCTGCTTTTGGTCATGGTATTTATCACAGCAGCAGAAAGTGACTAGGACAGATACTATCTAGTGTTCCCTTCTTTAGAAGAATGAATATATGGGGAGACATCCTAAACTAAATGGTAAAAGCAAAATAAACAACTGCATGTTTGCTATGGTGTCAATGGTATGAAATGAAAAAAAATCACATAATAGAAGTCTAAAGTAAGATATATAACTGAATATATATTATGATCTCTTCTTATTCTATACTTTCCAGTATTTTTGGATAACAACAACTTCAACTTCTTCTTCTTCTTCTTCTTCTTCTTCTTCTTCTTCTTCTTCTTCTTCTTCTTCT